TTGTTTCTGTGAGAACTCTAGTCCTGCTGGTTCTGGAGACTTCAGCTAATGCGGTCTCCATACTGGGACTCCAAGAATGACAACAAATACTGACTGTAATGCATGCCAGGCATGTTTTATGCAAATGCTGGCTAGCTTATATAACCCTCAACACATACCATCCATGGCACAGATGGGGAAACCGAGGCACAGTTATGGGGCTCAGCAGCAGCCATTTGACCATCCTGTCTGGTGGACACAGCCAGTGGCCCAGCTGTGGACTAGGCAGAAGGGCTGGAGTCCGTGTCAGGTAGTGATTTCAGAGCCTTGTACATCATGAGCTCTGAACCCTGTCAGCCAGTCTCTCCCCAGTGGCCTCCGGCTGTGAGGTGGGGCGGTCGGGCGAGGAGGCTTGCCCCTGGCTCTGAACTAGCCCTGTGGCAGGCAAGGACAGACTGACAGCTGGAGACCCAAGGTCCAAGGCTGGAGCTGAGGTCAAAGGTCCCAAGGCCTCCCATCCTCCCCTCCTTTTCTCCCCATTGACCCTCATGATTTGTTAGTTGAGAGTGGGTTTGTTCATCCAGTGCCCCAAAATTTGGGAGCAATGGGCTGACTGTGTGCTCTCAGCCTGACTTCCTTTTCTGCCTGGGCCTCCATACTGTTTCCTTGCCAGCTGGGGCCACCTTCTATAGCAGGGGGTGACCAGGATGGTGGCCCTGGGTGGCTGAGGCCCCGGGGAGTAGGGAGAGAGGTGATGGCAGTCCAGCCTCACTGGTGACCCTTTCCCCAGGTCATCGGGCTCCTGGATGTCTTCACCCCTGCCTCTTCCCTCCGAAACTTCCACGATTTGTGAGTCTGGCTTCACTGGGTTTGGGGTATTGTCGGATCTTAATGGCAGCTTGGGAATATTTGGGGGGCGGGCAGCTTCTGGGGTTGGGTGGAAAGGGCACCTCATGCCTCTGTGCTGTGACATTGAGGTCCTCTCTGGAGAGGTACCTCAGCTTTGGGTGGAAGGACTGTAGGGTGCCTGGCTCTCCAGGGCTATCTACACAGCTACTATACTTGTTACCTGGCCCTGCTACCATGAAGAGGACTGCTGGTCCTCTCAGGGTGTGCACTAGCCCCCTCACCAATTCCTAGGGGCCAGGTGTGACTTTGGACCTCACAGGAAGTGGGGGTGAGGATCAGGTGGGCCTGGACAATCTGGCTAATGGAGTTTGGCTGTTATAAACAAGCAGAACATTTGGTTGCAAAGTGTCAGGTTTTGCCTGCACGTGCCTGGGCATGGATGAACGGTTTGGATGATACGGAGAACTCGGGGTGAATGGCAGCCTAAAGCAGCCTCCATCGAGCTGCTTCTCACCCCACCTCAGTGCCACAGAGGCTGTGGAAATGTTTTGGTGTCTTGTGCTGTGTTTAGACAGGATCTCTCAGGTATCACAGGTTGACCTTGAAATTATGATCCTCCTGCCTCCAAATGCCAAGTGCTCAGATCCCAGGCATTGGTGCCAGGAATTGAACTCAGGGCTTTTGTCATGCTAGGCAAGTGTTCTACCAACTGAGCTGCATCCCCAGCCCAACAACTATAAGCAGGATTTTGGGGGACGACTGTCTCTCAAGTTTGGGGATGTGGCCAGTAGCTTTGAGAAAGGAGCAGGAGCACCTGGGGAGAAGCATCAGTGTCAAGGACCGGACCCCGACTTTGATCTACAACAGTGTGGGGTGTGGAGGGCAGATCTGAGACCCACTCGGGCAGCACTCACTGAGAGGGGTTGTTGCATCTGTTTGGACATGGCGGCTGAGGGAGGTTGGTGCAGGTGATCAGGGTTCCAATTCAGGAACCCAAGGTGGAAGAACAGACCTGGAGGGAAAGATGACGACCTCCACCTCGGGGCCTTGTCTCCTACAGAGCCTTTGAAACCGTAGGAGAGGGGAGCACCCATGTAGACCGTGGGTGATAGCTGAAGCCCGGGGACAGGTCATGGCAAAATGGGACACAATGATGTTGATCCTGAGTCCATGTTTACTAGAAGGTGAGCAGATGGAAACTGGTGAGGCAGTTGACACTTAGCAAAAGGACACATGGGGGGGGAAGGAGTCTGTTCTCCGGATGGTCACTGGTGACCTTGATCCCAGCCGTTTAGGACAGAAGCCTTCTGCATGACAAGGTTGTCAGAGACAGTGTGTGAAGGCAGTGGAGAAAGGGGATGGGGAAAACTATTTCTCCAAGGTTGGAGAATGAAGAAAGGCTAAAAGATTTATTTTATTTAAAATTGTGTGTGAAAGAGAGAGCGAGCATGAGTGTAGGTGCCCTGAAATTACAGGCAGTTGTGAGTTGCCTTATGAGGGTGCTAGATCTCGAACTTGGGTCCTCTAGGAAAAGCAGCCAGTGCTCTTTTCTTTTCTTTTTTTTTCCCTTCAGTTTCCCTTCCCTACACGGTTTCTCTGTAGCTTTGGAGCCTGTCCTGGACCTTGCTCTGTAGACCAGGCTGGTCTTGAACTCACTGAGATCCACTTGCCCCTGCCTGCCGAGTGCTGGGGTTAAAGGTGTGCTCCACCACTGCCTAGCTGAGGCAAGTGCTCTTAACTGCTGAGTGACCCCTCCAGCCCTCAGCAATAGCATACAGAAGCAAAGAAGCAGGCAAGGAGATATACATACACACGCAACCCTGGCAGTCAGGAGGCAGGTGGAGCCCTGTGAGTTTTCAGCCAGCCTTTTCTACATATTCAGTTGCAGGGCAGACAGGCCTACATGGTGAGACCCCGTCTCAAAATCAAAGAAACGGTGTGTGAGTGTGTGTGTGTGTGTGTGTGTGTGTGTGTGTGTGTGTGTGTGTGTGTGTGTGTTCATTCACTTTAGGGGACTGGGGTGTAGCTCAGTGGGTAGAGTACTTGCCTAGCATGAACAGCCCTGGCTCCACCCCTAACTCTGAATAAACTGGGGATGGTGGTGTATGCCAGTGATGCCAGCATTGGAGAGACAAAGGCAGGAGGGTGGAAAATTCAAGACTATCCTCAACCTCGTAGTGAACTAGAGACAAGTCTGGGATACTCATCCTGTCTCAAGAGGGAAGGAAAGAAATATATATTATGGTGTGTGTGTTAATCTGTTGCTTTTTGTTTGTCCTGCACTTTGCCGTTACCACCTTGAGTCACAGTTCCGGGTTGTTGACATTGACCTGTTTCAAAATCCCACTTGAGTGCTTTAATAGCACAGGCCCCTTCTTCCTCTGCCTGCTGAAGATTGCTTCCTGCTGCCTTCCTGGAAAGACATATTTTGTAGTTAGTGGAGCCTGCTGGGCTGGGCGTGACCCTCCTGTGGGAGAAACTTTTGGATGGAAGCAGAAGCAAATGCTGGCAGATACTGCTGGCTCACAGCTGGTCTGTTTGGGGAGCCGGGCGTGGAGGAGGGCAGTGCCAGGGTACCTTTGAGGAGTGTGAACACAGCCATCTGGTTTTACTGAGTATGCTTCAATGCTGGTGCTCACCCTGAGCTCCGCCAACCAGGATGCTGTGGCAGGGGTGCCGGGTAAATCCTGGCTGTGTTCGTGTGTGTGGAGCCTCATGTGTGTATGCAAGTATGCCTGTATTTATGTGTGTGTGCATCTGGTCAGAGGTCAGAGTAGTATTGTTCCTCAAGCGCTATCTACCTTGTTTTCTTTTTTCCTTATGGTAGTTTGCAGGTGTGTGTGTGTGTGTGTGTGTGTGTTCTCGTGCGTGCGCTCCTGCATGAGTTTATGTGCACCATATGCTTTCAGGTGCCCACAGGGTCCAGAAGAGGGTATCAGATCTTCTGAACTGGACTTCCAGGTGGCTGTGAGCCTCCTGATGTGGGTGCTGGGAACTGAACCTGAGTCCCCTGCAAGAACAGGACGTGCTCTTTACTGCTGAGCCATCTCTTCAGTCCCTCTCCTTGTCTTGTGAGGCAGGGTCTCTCACTGGTTTGTCAATTAAGCCAAGCTGGCAGGCTAATGAGCCCCGGGGATCCTCCTGTCTCCACCTTCCCACACTGGGATTACAACCGAACCCCATCACACCCAGTTTTTGTACGTGGGTGCTGCAGCTTGAACTCGGGTCCTCGTGTAAGCGAACACTGTGTCAGCTGAAGCATCTCTCCAGCCCTGTTTTGTGTTGTCATCGTTGTTTTTCTGAGACAAGGTCATGTTGTGTAGACCAGCCTACCTGGGCCTCAGCATGTAACGCAGGCTGAACGTTAACATGTGCAAATCCTCCCACTTAAGCTCTGCAAGGGTTGCGATTACAGGCATGACCCATCACACCTGACTCTTCTTACGCCTTCTTGCCTGGTGTTGTGCCCACTTCTGCCCCTCTGGAGTCACACCCGGGCCTGTGGGAGGCTGGGCCTGTGGGAGGCTGGGCCTGTGGGAGGCTGGGGACTGTGCTAAAAGCCGCCTCCTTCCAGCTACCTGGTGATGCCCTTCATGCAGACTGATCTGCAGAAGATCATGGGGATGGAATTCAGCGAAGATAAGGTCCAGTACTTGGTGTACCAAGTGCTCAAAGGGTTAAAGGTGAGTGTGGCCTGCATGGTGGCCAAGGGCTGCTCAGTGCTGAGACTCAGCCCCTTGGTGGGAAAGAGGAGGATTTGAGGATGCTGGCATGGAAGCTGGTGCCCCGATTCATCTCTCTCTCTCTCTCTCTCTCTCTCTCTCTCTCTCTCTCTCCCTCTCTCAGTACATTCACTCAGCTGGTGTCGTCCACAGGGTGAGTACTTCCTCTATCGTAGTTCTCAGGGACCCTGGAGTCCTTCCACAGTGTGTGGGGTAGGAACTGGGTGGCTGGCCAGTCAATTGGGAGCAGTACAGTGACAGTTCTCAGGGACATGGACTGAGGATGTCTCAGCCTTGAGAAGGTGATGTAGTAGAATGGGGGGGTAGGAGAGACACTTTGGGGAGTTGCTGCCACTGAGCGCTGTGCTGGCACTTTAGTCTCTCAGGACAGGCACATGGTGGAAGAGGATGTAGAGTCCAGTGTCATTTTGCAATTACGAAGCAGGCCTGGAGGGGAAGTAAAGTGGCCCAGCTGCTGTTGCAATGCAGTGTGCATTGTGTGCGTTGTGTGCGTTGTGTGCGTGTGTGTTGTGTGTGTGTGTGTGCATGAAAGAGAGAACTTTCATGCACGAGAGAGAGAGAGAGAGAGAGAGAGAGAGAGAGAGAGAGAGAGATCTATGAGAGATCCAGCACCAGCTGGCTCGGGTTCAGCCTGGTGCTCCATCTCTGTGCTCCCTCCCAGGACCTGAAACCAGGCAACCTGGCAGTGAATGAAGACTGTGAGCTGAAGGTGAGTGGGTGGCAGCGTGTCCACCACGGGTGGGGAGGTGGATGGAATTTTGGGTGAGGTGGGTTTTGTCCCTGGGAGCCCTTTTCCTCAGCCAGCTCGTTCTCCCCGTGTCCCTTGAGCCGTAGATCCTGGACTTTGGGCTGGCTCGGCATGCAGACCCCGAGATGACCGGCTATGTGGTGACCCGCTGGTACCGGGCCCCTGAGGTGATTCTCAGTTGGATGCATTATAACCAAACAGGTCAGTGGTCAGTTGCCCAGGTTGTTCCTGGTGACCTTCTCTAGAGAGCATCAGGCGTCCACACCCCCTCCTCCTTTGCAGTGGACATCTGGTCTGTTGGCTGCATCATGGCAGAAATGCTAACGGGAAAGACACTATTCAAGGGGAAGGACTGTATCCTTTGCCAGAGCAATTGATGTCCATCTGGGGACCCTTTCCTTCAGGAATGATATTTAAATGTGGCTCAGTGTGGCAGCAGGATAAGCTTCCTCAAGAAATATGTATTTTATTTTTCAGACAGGATCTCACTATATAGCTCTGATTAGCCTAGAACTTGCTGTGCAGTTCAAGCTGGCCTCAAACTCACAGGGCTCCTCCTGCCTCTGCCTCCCGAGCGCTGGGATTAAAGGTGTGCGCCACCATGTCTGACTTACTTTATTTTTCATTTTGAAACAGAGTTTCCTGTGTCTCAGGCCTCACACTCATCATGTAGCCAAAGATGACCTTACTCTGCTTCTCTTCCTGCCACCTCCCAAGTGCTAGGGTCACAGATGTGGGTCACCATTACTGGGCATGGAACCCAGGTTCCATGCACGCTAGGCAAGCAGTCTTCTGAGGCCCAGCCCCTAGAATGGTTTTAAAGATTTCATTTTTGTGAGTGTATGTGTGTGTCTGTGTGAGGGTATCTGCATGGGCCTTTTATCCCAGCACTCGGGAGGCAGAGGCAAGCCAATCTCTGAGTTCAAGGCCAGCCTGGTCTACAGAGCAAGTTCCAGGATAGGCTCCAAAGCCACAGAGAAACCCTGTCTCGGAAAAAAAAAAATGCAGACAATCATATGGTAAAAAGGAGTTCTTCCTGCCCCCACCTCTGCTAGAAATCCCTCAGAAGCAGATGGGGAGCTCTCATGGGCCTGGCAAGTGGAGAGACAAGGGGCTGCCCACCCAGCTCAAATGAAGAGGGAGCAGGGGAGGGTGATTTGGCAGGATGAATCTCAGAAAGGCACACCCTGGGCAACCTTCTCCTGACTTGGGCTGTCGGGAAGTCTTCCAGAGACCTGCTCCAACTGTCCCAAGCCCTGGCCATGGTTAGATGGGGCTGGAGCCAGGAGTATCTGCCAAGCTGGCTAGAGCAAGACTGAGGGTGGGGAGGGCAGGCTCAGAGCACTGAGAGCAATGCTGTGCCTTAACTGTCTGCCAAGACCTGGACCAGCTGACCCAGATCCTGAAAGTGACCGGGGTGCCAGGTGCCGAGTTTGTGCAGAAGTTGAAAGACAAGGCGGTGAGTGGCATCTTCCCAAGGGGTCCCTTTGCCCTGGCAGACCCTCCTGTCCTCATCCTATCTTGGATTCCCACAGGCCTTCAGCCATTCTTTTTCCTCCCAGGCCAGAGCATGGAGAATTCTGTTTTTCTGTCTTCCAGGCCAAATCCTACATCCAATCTCTGCCCCAGAGTCCCAAGAAGGATTTCACCCAGCTGTTCCCACGTGCCAGTCCCCAAGGTGAGTCCTGGTCCCATCCCAACGGCCATCTATCCCAGGCCAGGCACGATGCTCATGGTCATGTCCCTGCAGCCGCAGACCTGCTGGACAAGATGCTGGAGCTGGATGTGGACAAGCGTCTGACAGCCGCTCAGGCACTTGCTCACCCCTTTTTCGAACCCATCCGTGACCCCGAGGAGGAGACGGAGGCCCAGCAGCCTTTTGCTGATGTCTTAGAACAGGAGAAGCTCACCGTGGACGAGTGGAAGCGTAAGAGAAGCCCCCACCGGACTCCTCCTCAGCCTAAGGGGGTGGGCACACCTGTCCTCCAGCCCAGTCCGTCTCCAGTAGGGTTTTCTCCTGCTCCGAGCGGGTTCCTGCTCCACTGTCTGATGGGTGGGCTCTCTCTGCCCCCACACCTAAAGCACCCACTTCCCACAGAGCACCTCTTCAAAGAGGTCTCCAGCTTCAGTCCCATCGCCCGGAAGGACTCTCGGCGACGGAGTGGCATGAAGCTGCAGTGACCATGAAGTCCCACCCGCAGCTGAGCCTGAGGACTGTGACAGGATCACCCTCTGCTTCAGGACCAATATTTCTTCTCACTACTTATATCTCAGGGCTTATGGGGATGTGGCCTCCTGAGCAGACAGAAGTGTCTTTCAGTGGCCTAGGGGTCAGACCCAGAGGAAGCAGAATTCCAGCCTGCTGGGTTTGGGGTGGGGAGTGGGGTGGGGACTTGTGATTGTAGCAGGCTGTATTAAAACTCAAGTGTGGGCAAAAGCCTGATGTGGGGTCCTTTCCTTCCTGGAGGGATGGGACTGAGGATGTGTGAGCCAGGCTGAGAGCCACCACAGTGACGGGCGAGGTCTGCTTCTGGGGTGGAGGCAGCACAGAAACCAGGACAGATGTCTTCCCTCACATTGCTGGAGGTCAGAAGAGTAAAACCAGGGTGCTGGGAAGGCCGAGCTCCCTCAGAGACTGCAGAAAAGAGTCAATCCATCCTTCCTCCCTTCCTCCCTCCCTCCCTCCCTTCCTCCCTTCCGTCCTTCCTTTTTAGCTCTGCTGGCTAAAGAACCAAAGTCATCCTCAGCATTTTTTTTTCAAGGTAGGGTTTCTCTGTGTAGCTTTGGATCCTGTCCTGCAAATTGCTCTGTAGACCGGGCTAGTTTTGAACTCACAAAGATCCGCTTGCTTCTGCCTCCCGAGTGTTGGGATTCTCAGTATTTCTTTTACACACACACACACACACACACACACACACACACACACACACACACACGCACACTTCTTAAAGACTGGCTACATGTAGCCTAGGAAAGCCTCAAGTCCACACCTCCCCCTCTTTGAGACTCACTATACAGGGTCTCACTATACAGCCCTGGCTGGTCTGGAACTCAGAGATCTGCCTGCCTCTGCCTCCGGTGTGCTAGGATTAAAGGTAGGCACCACCACACAGCTGAATTCCCTTTATATTGAGACAGCATCTCACCCTCTAGCTCAGGCTAGCCTGAACACACAGCATTTTTCCTACTCAGCTTCCCAAGTGCTGGGATTGGAGGTCCATCCTTGGCAGTTCTTCCTTCTGACCTCTGCACTCGCCTTCCACAGGCGGCCTGGCTTCCGGTGTATGAGTAACTCTTCTCTCAGATTTTTCTAAGGATGCCAGGCATGGCCCTTGCCTGCCTGAAGTCTCAGGAAACTGAAGATCTCAAGTTACAGGTCAGGTCAGCCTGGGCTACACAGTGAGACCCTGTCTCAAAACAACAACCGGGGGTGGGCCTAAAACAGCAACAGAGTGGCAAGGTTTGGAGTTAGGCCCCTTCTAGCACGACGCCATTTTATGTCAGCAAAAGCTTTCCAAATACAGTCTTACCCTGAGGTTCCAGCGGGATGTGAATGGGGGGATAGTTACTTGCTACAGATGAGCACAAAGGAGGCCACTCTTGGGCCTTCTGCTCTGTCCTCTGCTCTGTTAGTGAGCCAAGTGTGTTAGGCCACTGAGCCCCAGGAGCTGCAGGTTGGCCAGCTGTTGCTGGCAGTATATTTTGGGTGCCTGATAACATGAGACACGGGCTGGGAAGGGAGTGCTGCAGCAGGCAGACGTGGGCTTTTCTTGGCTAAGATGGCAAACCTCTGTTCTTCCCATATTGCTTTTCGCTGGGAAGAGGCATCTCAGAGCCAGACAGCCAGTGATGACTTGATTCCTCCCTTTGCTTTGGTAGAACAAAGTGGGCTATGCAGGGCAGTGGGCAGCTTGGTCTGGCTTCCTGCCGTGGGTTTCTGACACCTGGTACCAACTGCACTAAAGAAACTTGTTAAAATACTGGCTTCCAGGTTGGAAGGTACAAACAACCTCTTACCCTGACCCCAGAGAGGGTGGCTACATTGTACGCTCCTGATGGGAGGAGCCTGACTTCAGTTACAGTATGTCAGGAGGCCAAACTACTGCATTGTATCATACCGAAAGTACACTCCTGATGGGAGGAGCCTGACTTCAGTTACAATGTGTCAGGAGGCCAAACTAGAACTCCACTCCTGTCTGTGTTCCGTCTTCCCTGGGTGGCCTGCCGTGGACCATAGTCCTGGGATCCTCAGTGAGGCTGACCCTATGTATTATCAGGTTAAAGGCTCTGACAAGTCCTATAGAAAATGAGCTCTGTTCCGTATTGCTCATTCCAAAACTTTGCAGAGTGACGTCACTCTCCCAGTGGTTCAGGCAGAGTATTTTTAGGGCAGTCAAAGTCTTCTGGTGACAGGGATTTTGCTAGAATCTGTGCCCTTTAAAAGTAAACTTGCAAGTTACCCAGAATGGATTGTTGTTAGGCCACAGTGTGTAACCAATGTACCACGTGCATGCAAGACAGGAGCAGGATGCCGGGTGATGGTGGCAGCTCGCCTCTAATCCCAGCACTTGGGAGGCAGAGGCAGGAGGATCTCTGTGAGTTCAAGACCAGCCTGGTCTACAAGAGCTAGTTCCAGGAAGTCTCCAAAGCTACACAGAGGAGAAACTCTGTTTTGAAAACCAAAAAAAAAAAAAAAAAAAAAAAAAGGCAATAGCAGAGAACTCGTTGAAGATGGTGGCAGTGGGCAGTGTCCAAGGATACTCTCCACTTTCTCTTAACCTAAAAAATCCTCAAAATAAGATCTATTTGAAAACAACAAAAACTCTGAGGCTTCAGAGAACTAGCATTAGATGTCACAGCTTGGGCTGCTGGAGGCAAGATTGGGACCCGTGGGGGCTTGATGCCAGGCTTCAGCTAAACCTGGATGTCAGGGCTGCCCCTGCACTGGCTCCCCAAGCCCTATCACTGCTGGTTGTGTCTGTACTTTGTCAGCCCTATTGGCATGTCAGGCAGGAGGAGGCCTTGGTGGGACAGCCCTGTCATCACCCTGACCTTATAGTTGCAAGGCTGGTTCAGAGTTCTCCCCCCCCCCTTTTTTTTTTTTTTTTTTTCTGATGCAGGGTTTCTCTATGTAGTCTTGGCAGTCCTGGAGCTCGCTCTGTAGACTAGGCTGGCCTCAAACTCAGAGATCCACCTGCCTGTGCCTTCCAAGTGCTGTGATTAAAGGCGTGCACCACCACCGCCCAGCTTTTTGATTTATTTTGTTTTTTCCAGGGTTCCTCATTTTAAATCCCTCCTCTGAGCCTCCATCTTGGTCCCAATGAAGAGGTTCAGTCTTCTACCCTAAATTCACACCTTAGTCATTTTCTCAAAAAGATTTTACCAGTGTCCCTGATTTCCATAGTCCTTCTGCCAGGGCTGCCAGCCATAAGGCTTACTGTTCACATTATCAGAGTAGAAGCTCCAACACGTCCTGATGAAAAAGTATTTATTTATTTTGAGACAAAATTCCACTATGTATCGTTGCTATCTGGAGCTCTCTCTGTAGAACATGCTGTCCTTGAGCTCACAAAGATCCTCCTGCTTCTGCCTCCTGATTGCTGTGATTAAACGTGTGCGCCATACACCCTGCAAGAGTTCTGTTTTATATTTAGCCCAGACCTTCCTAAACGTACTTAGCCACAGGAACCCATTTTTCTCCTGACATTGTCACATAGTCCTCTGCCCAGTGCAGGGGACCCAACCCACACTGTTCCCCAAGCAGATAATATGTGTGCCTTGGTCTCCCCTTCCCTGTAACTGTGAGTCCCTGCTGGGAACAAATACCTTTGAGCAAGTGAATGAAGGCATTGATGTCCCCAAGTCCCAAAGACCATTTCTGTGTTCAGTCAGGGCTGTGGTAATGAGGACCACAGAGAGACAGGAGAGTTGCAGAAGGGGTGGCACCAGGCTGCACCCCGGAGAAAACTCCCCATCCCCAAACAGCAGCCCCTCAACAACAACCAAACCCTAAAACCCATCGTCTCAAATCCAGGTTGTTTGACAGTGCTGAGGGCTGCATGTCCCTGGGCATTGCCCACTGGGGCCCCGTTGGCTAGCTGGAGGGAGTGAAGTGCATGCAGGCAGGCCCTGTGCCCCTTACCTTGGTGGGTGAGCTGAGCTTTGCCCTGGGTGGAGGGTGACTCAGAAAACAAGCAAAGAGAAGCAAGCCTCACTCCAAGCCAGGGACAGTCCCCTAACAACAGCTCTATCCTCCCTCTCGTACCACTGAAAGCTAGCTGTCCTTGCAGCGTCACTTACTGCTCCTCTGCCCGGATGGACCTCAGGGTTCAGGTTGTCCCAGGGCAGGCATTGTCCCCTGCTTGGCATTGGGTGGGTGGAAACTGTCTTTGTCGGGTTCTGATGAAGCCCTGGAGGAGCTGCTGTAGCAGAGTCAAGCCAGTGTGCGCGATGCCCGCTGTGCAGAGCTGGGGCTGACACAACTGTCACCACAGGGAGAGGGACCCCAGCAGCCCTGCAACTGCAGTCTGGGAAGGAGGGTTCTCCCCTGCTCTTGGCATCTGTGTGTGTCCTCACAGTCTGTGACATTCCCTTGGGTATGCTCCTCCCGCCCTTCCTGTGCTTTGCCGTGGGATCTGAGCCTTGAGGTTTTTGTCTCCAACTGGTTCAATGAAGGAAGAAGCTGGGGACCCCCAACCCCAGAAGGTAGCTGAGGCTCAATGCCACCGTTAGAACAGAATGTCCAAGGAGTTCATGGTCACAGTCACTGTGGAGGTTCCAGGGGGAGGCCCTGGAGCAGGGGAGGGTGGGTGAGCAGCTGTTTTCACTCTTGGCTGGGCCTGAGTGTCAACTGGGGCTGCTCACTGCAGGCTCCTGCCTTTTCTTTGCGACCTAAATCAACCTTCCTTCACCTCGTCGTTGTGATGCCAACAGGGTATGGCTATTGTCCCTCCTCACATGGGCCTAACGCTAAATCCCTGATATAAGGTTACAATCCAGCTACAACCACTGGGAAAAGAACGGACTGAGTAAAGGATACCCAGGACTTTTTCATATGATCTTTGCCACATACCATGAATCTGTGATTACAGCAGAATTTAAAAGTTTTACTTAGGTTTTTAAGGATTTACTTTTTAAAGCTGGTATATTAGCACACACCTTTAACCCACCACTCAGAAGAC